ACATTCACTCCCCCCTAACTTTTACCCTAACCCTAACCAAGGCTTGGAAACCTCAGCAGTGTAGGTTGGAAGTTGCCTAGCAACTGCCAAAATGGTTGCTGAGATCTCACATGTCATGCAAAGTCATGATGTACGCTATTCTTGCTTCTATGGTTTGGGTGTGTGTGTTTTTTAATTCACCAAATGTTTTGGTGTTGGGGTTTTTTACATTTCTTATGGGCTACCCCCAGGCTTGTAGAAAGTCCTCCTGTCTTTTCCTAGCCCCCAGTGTTTGGATTTTTTGATCCACACTGTAGGTCCGAATTCAGAATTAGATGGCTAGATAGATTCAGGAATCTAGTATCAATTATCAATACTGCAGATAAATAGGGAGCTCAAAAACAGCTGTGACAAGCCGACAGGAGATGAAAAGTCTCTGGTTCAGGTTGGCTTATCTCAGGGGGTACCTGTTGCTTTTCTACAGGGAGGTAGATTGAAATTGTCCACAGAGGCCATGGCTAGTGACATGGACTGCCTGACAAGGTCTCGAGATAGCAAGAGGAAGGTTGCAGGCTTAACTTGTAAGGGAAATTACAGCTGTTTCTATACAAAAGCTAGAAGTGTCCGAGGTAAAATGGGGGAGTTGGAGTGCTTGGTGTTGGAGGGAAAAATAGACATTGTGGGTATTTCAGAAACTTGGTGGGATGAGGAAAATCATTGGGACACGGTGATTCCCGGTTATATACTATATCGGAAGGATGGGGGGGAAAGGGTTGGAGGTGGGGTGGCTCTGTATGTCAGAGAGGGTATAAAGTCTAGAAAGATTGAGAGGCTAAGTGAATTGGATTCGCTTCTGGAAGTTCTATGGGTTGAAATAGAGGGGCCAAAAGGAAACTTAACACTGGGAGTTTGTTATCGCCCACCAGATCAAAAGATAGAGGAGGATTATAAAATGACGAATGCATTAAAGATAGCAGCTAGACAAAAACACTGTGTAATAATAGGTGATTTTAACTACCCACACATTGATTGGCTCAATATGTGTTCTAGTCGGGAAAAAGAGATTGAGTTTCTAGACACTCTAAATGACTGTGCTATGGAGCAGATGGTCACGGAACCTACCAGGGGAGAGGCGATCCTTGATTTGGTCCTAAGTAACACTCAAGACCTGGTGAGAGATGTAAAAGTGATTGCACCGCTTGGAAACAGTGATCATAATGTTGTTGAGTTCATCATTTGTACAAATAGAGAATTGGCCAAAAAGACTCACACAACCATTTTTAACTTTAAAAGGGGTAATTTCTCTGATATGAGGGGACACGTGGGGAGGAAACTGAAAGGAAAAGTAGAAAGGGTCAAAACAATTGGGGAAGCTTGGGATCTATTTAAAACTACGATCCTAGAAGCTCAAAAAATATATATTCCGCAGGTTAGGAAAGGCACAAAAAGGTATAGGAAAAAGCCTGCATGGTTAACAAACAGAGTAATGGAGGCTGTAAAAAGTAAAAAGAATTCCTTTAAGCAGTGGAAAGCTAGTCACAGTGAGGCTGATAAAACGGAACACAGGCTATGGCAAATAAAATGCAAGTCTGAGGTCAGGCAGGCAAAAAGGGAATATGAGGAGCATATAGCAAAAAACGTAAAAACCAACAATAAAACTTTCTTCAAATACATTAGAAACAGGAAACCAGCCAGGGAGGCAGTGGGGCCCTTGGACGACCAAGGGGTAAAAGGAGTATTGAAGGATGATAGGGAAATGGCTGAGAAGCTAAATGCATTTTTTGCCTCCGTCTTCACTGTGGAAGATGAGAAGTGCTTGCCCACTCCAGAACCACTGATTTCAGGAGGGGTGTTGAAAGACCTGAGTCAGATTGAGGTGACGAGAGAGGAGGTCCTAAAACTGATAGACAACTTAAAAACTGAAAAATCACCAGGCCCAGATGGCATACATCCGAGAGTTCTGAAAGAACTCAAATGTGAACTTGTAGATCTCCTGACAAAGATATGTAATCTTTCCTTAAAATCTGCCTCCATTCCTGAGGATTGGAAGGTAGCTAATGTCACTCCCATCTTTAAAAAGGGTTCCAGAGGAGATCCGGGAAATTACAGGCCAGTCAGTCTGACGTCGATACCGGGTAAATTGGTGGAAACCATTATTAAGGAAAGAATTAGTAGGCACATAGATGAACAAAACCTATTGAGGCAGACTCAGCACGGTTTCTGTAAGGGAAGATCTTGTCTCACTAACCTGTTAGTGTTCTTTGAGGGGGTGAACAAACATGTGGACAAGGGGGATCCAATAGATATTATTTACCTTGACTTCCAGAAAGCTTTTGATAAAGTTCCTCATCAAAGGCTCCTAAGTAAGCTCAAAAATCATGGGATAGAAGGACAAGTCCTTTTATGGATCAAAAACTGGCTAGTTCATAGAAAACAGAGAGTGAGTGTAGGTGGGCAATTTTCTCAGTGGAGGGTGGTAAGCAGTGGGGTACCGCAGGGATCAGTACTTGGTCCACTGCTTTTTAACTTGTTCATTAATGATTTGGAGATGGGAGTAAGCAGTGAAGTGGCTAAATTTGCGGATGATACAAAGTTGTTCAGGGTGGTGAAAACCAGTGAGGATTGTGAGGCACTCCAAGGGGATCTGTCAAGGATGGGCGAGTGGGCGTCAACATGGCAAATGGGGTTCAATGTGGCCAAGTGCAAGGTGATGCACATTGGAGCCAAAAATCCTAAATATAAATACACATTGATGGGGTCTGAACTGGCAGAGACTGAGCAAGAGAGAGATCTTGGAGTTGTAGTGGATAACTCACTGAAAATGTCGAGACAGTGTGTGACTGCAATAAAGAAGGCCAATGCTATGCTGGGGATTATTAGGAAGGGTATTGAAAACAGATCAGCCAATATAATAATGCCCCTATATAAATCAATGGTGAGACCTCATTTGGAATACTGTGTGCAGTTCTGGGCACCACACCTTAAAAAGGATATTATAGCTTTGGAAAAAGTGCAGAAAAGGGCAACTCGAATGATAAAAGGGTTGGAACACTTTCCCTATGAGGAAAGGTTAAAGCGCTTAGGGCTCTTTAGCTTGGAGAAAAGACGACTGAGGGGTGACATGATCGAGGTTTATAAGATTATGCATGGGAAAGAGCAGGTAAAGAAAGAGGTACTTTTCTCCCTTTCTCACAATACAAGAACTCGTGGGCACTCCATGAAACTGCAGAGCGGTCGGGTTAGAACGGATAAAAGGAAGTACTTCTTCACCCAAAGAGTGATTAACACTTGGAATTCACTGCCACAGGAAGTGGTGGCGGCTACAAGCATGGATGTCTTCAAAAGGGAATTAGATAAGCATATGGAGCAGAGGTCCATCAGTGGCTATTAGCCACAAGGTATAGATAGGGGCTCTGGGGCAAGTGATGCTCTGTCTTCTTGGTGCTTGGGGGGGGGGTCAACAGTGGGAGGGCTTCTAATGTCCTGGCCCCACTGGTGGACCTCCTGACGGCACCTGGTATTTCTGGCCACTGTGTGACCCAGAGTGTTGGACTGGATGGGCCTTTGGCCTGATCCAACACTGGCGTCTCTTCTGTTCTTATGTAAGCCAACTTGTGTCAGAACTGGGGGGCATTGGCATCAAGCCCACGACTACACCCATTTCAGACTACGTACTCTATGTCATGGTTGGACCAGGGTCACACTGGTCATCCATCCTACCAAGCTGATGCACGCCCCCCCCCACATACACTTGTGAACTACAAAGTGTATCTATAGCAGTGCTCCTGGCAGCAAAGGCTTCAGGGACACTTTGTCTTCCCTCCTCCGGAGGCCACTTGTTACAGGCATCAAGCAAAGCTCGTTCCCACACATTCCTTTCCCCAATCACTTCCCCCCCTTCCAGCTCAAAGCAAAAGCATCGCAGAGAACAGAAATCAATCTGCCATTGCTTCCGTTCCCCCCTCAGCCTCTTAGCCCCGTCCCCTAGCCATTTCCTTCCTCTTTCTTAACCGCTCCAACAATAACATACCTCACTGCATGTGTCTGCTCACCCACTCGCCCTCCTGAGCAGCCGCCAGCCTTCCGTTCCTTGCACCAGTTGCTTGTGGGCTGGGTAAGAGCCCTGGATGGGCCTTTTCTGGACCCTGGGGCCATATGGTTGACTCCCCTTCTCTACTGTATCACATTTAAAGAGGGGCACCAGCAGGGGTCTTGTTGTAGAAAAAGAGCTGCCGGAGCTCATTAGCATAACTCATTAGCATAACTTATTTGCATATGCCACGCCCCCTGACATCACCGGAAGTGACAGAAGGCCACACCCCCTGACATCACCGGAAGTGTGTCAGAAGGCCCGGCTACATACCCTCCTGCTTCATCCTCATTCCCAAACGGAATGAGGATCGAAGCAGAGGGCGGGGTAAAGAAGGGGGTGGGGCTTCACCACGTGACCGCCCCGCCCCCTAGAGGTTCTCTTCCGGAGCTCCGTACCTGAGAGCTCCCCCCCGACTAGAGCCCTGGGCACCAGGCAAGAAACCCTAAAAGAGCTGAAGATGGACAGTCTGAGAGGAGCAATCCCAATAATGTACAACTTAACAGCTGTGCCTGATATAAATTAAGATCAGGAAAACCTGCAAAGTTTCCTGTTTCCTGTTGCAGCTGCTGTGTGCTTTTCCTTTTCACATGCTAATGCATACAAATTTACTTGATTATGTATTACTTGATTAATTGACTAACCTCCATACAGTCATACAACTACGATTTCTTTGCTTTGCCTGCTTGCAAGCACTATTTTCTACTAACCATGTTTCAACCGGTATCCCCCCCCCCGAAACAATCAGTTTACATTATTGTGCAGTTTCCCTCTTCATTATGCAATGTCTCTTCTCCCTGCTCTATCTCTACCTGCCTTCTAGCCCCCTGGGTTTGAGAGTGGGAATAACAGGTTAAAGTCTGTGAAGACCTGCAGGCATATATTAGTGATAATCAGAGTTGCCAACCAGAGAGATGTCTGGAACACTTACTGGCTTGCTTGGCCTTTTCCGCATAGGTGGTGGTCAGGTCTTCATCCACCGGGTGCTCTACAGGCCCCACCATGGGAATGAGGTGCCTCTCAGCACGGATCGTCTTGGTGGCATGTGGCAGGAGCAAGGCCTCTGGGGAAGGCTCCCTGTCTTCAGGCGGGGGGAGCTCCAGCAAGGCCTCGCTCTCGGAGAAAGGGGTGTCTGTGCGGCTGCCTGGCTGGCACACAATTTCCCTCTTGGCCACTCCAGTCAGGCCATCTCCTCCATTGCGAGTTTGGGCCGCGGCCTCTAGAGTGCTCTCGTAACCGCTCAGCTCTGAGAGGGACACTTCATCCTGTGGCTCACCCACTTTATTGTTGGGAACCCCCGGTGGGGAACGGGGACTCTTCTTGCGCGCCCTCCGGTGCTTCTCCTGGGCCACGTTGTCGGCATCACTGTCTGTCTCGGCATAGTACGCTTCACTATCTGGTGGTGAGGTGAGATTTTCCAGCTGCCGGCGGCGGCGAGACTCCTGCTCGGGTTGTGGAGCAACAGGAGCAGCAGGCGGTTCAGGGCTGAGGGCCTGAGTAGTCTGGCTGAGAGGGGAAGCTGGTGAGACGGCTCGCGCCTGCTTGGGGGACGGGGAACGCAGCTGTCTCACGATGGCCGTGTCTCCACTGGTTGCCCTGGAGAAGATTACAGAATTTCAGTCAATTATCTACTGGGGCATGCATAGTTTGTTGTATGTGTACATACATGTTGTGCATTATTTGATTCCTAACATGAGAATCTTTAATTTGTAAAAAGCCATATAATTAGGAGATTGTGAAATGATGCAATGAGGATTCAGACTCTACTTCGGAGTTCCCTGCTGGTGGAAAGTACTTTCAAGTCACGGCCAACTTCTAGTGACCCGGTAGGACTTCCAAGGCAAGAGACGTGTTCAGAGGTGGTTTGGCCACCGCCTGCCTCTGCGTAACCGCCCTGGACTGCCTTGCTGGTCTCCCACCCAAGGACTTACCAGGGCTGACCCTGCTCAGCTTCTGAGATCTAACAAGATCAGGCTAGCCTGGGCCATCCAGGTCAGGGGTCACATCCCCCTAGTCCCTATATATTGCAACAGAAAAAACAATTGTATGAATTAAACAACAGTGGAAGGGCATCTCTTTCCATTTTCCTGTTCTCGATTTAAAAAAAATAGGGGTTTGGGGGCAAATGACTGACTTTTCCACTCACTGCTTCCTAAATGCTCATTGGTGTCCACTGACGCTGCCATGAGCTGGGGTGTGTAACTCTCGACCGTACTCCCTTCCCTCCCCCATGCATTCTCTAGCCTGGTGCTTATCTTGCAGGTGGCCTTGGAGCTAGAGCTTCCCTAAGCTTCCCGCTGGGAACCTAATGGTTCCGCATTAGCCTGTGCTTGTAGGTGTTTGCTCATTGGCCTGGGGGTATCAGGGGGTCTCCTTCAAAGGTAGTATTTCCTGGGCCCCCCGCGCTGCTTTCGTCATTCTTGACACAAGACGTTAATGGTGTCTCAAGTTAGTACTTGAGAGCTCTCGCTCAATAAACTGGTATTCCTGCAGACCTGGTGTTGAGTGTGATTGACTGGGAACCCTGACAAATGGTAGTGTTTTCCACACAATAAAATTAGTTTTGTTTCTTATGTGTTAGAAACAAGAAAATCTACAGCCACTACAAATATCCAGTTCTGTCCCTCTCTCCCCCCAATCTGTTGCCTGCTCACATTACTGCCAAAATATTTTCATAGTATCGGTATAAAAATATTGTCTTATTTTTGTTTGACTTCCCCCAATTTAGGGGTTTTTCTTCCATAAATGTGATGATGGGCCACCATTCTTCCAAAAGTTTATTCTCTTTTTGTTTCCCTTGCTGAGTTCTGACTTCTTGACCCTAAGCACTGACGCAACCCTTCCTGCTATACCCCTCATGATCTGCCTAAGTTCACTAGAGAGAATATTTTATTGTATTTTATTGTATTTAGCCATAGGCCATTGCAAACCACAGACAGAGAAGAGTACAATAAAACACAAAAATTGTATAAAATAAGATACAATCCAACATTATAAATCCATAAAACCGAGGTTATGAACAGTTAAAACCGAGGTTATGAACAGTTAAAACCGAGGTTATGAACAGTTAATTAAGTCACAACATACCCACTAAAATCAGTATTAGCTAGGAGCAGCGTTGGCCCGTATTTTCCTTGCAGCCAAGGCAAATAAAGCCATTCTATGGGATACATCAGCATTGGCATCGGCTAGCAAAAATATAATCTTCTCTGAGACTGAATAAAAGCTTAAAACTGATAAAATACCAGATAAAAATTTTGACCTAGGCTGGGAGTACAATGAGCAATTAAAAATGTAATGGGAGAGATCCTCAACAGCAGAAGAGCCACAAATACATAAACGCTGTGCCTTGGGTGTTCTGTTGTAACGGCCGACCAACACGGCCGTAGGCATTGATTCAAAGCGCAAAGATGTAAAAGCTGCTCTAAGGTTATGATTATCTATATTAACCAGATAAGGTGATCTAAAATGATCATTCTTAAATGATTTAAACCAGGTAGCAGACTGTGTTTTTAAAATGAAGTGTCTATCTAGCAGAGCATCATGCTTAAATACCCATTCTCTGAGATCTAAGTTATTTGTTGAGGAGCTAAGGAGGTCGTCAGGAATGGAATATCTTAGTAGTAGGTTATTGAGGAAGCAAGAACGATCTAAGACTTTAGATAGCATTGAATTACAGAATCAGCATTGCTTTCAGATGGCCATCTAGCCTCTGTTTTAAAGCCTCCCAGATACTGGAGGTAAATGGCTGGTTATATAGGTCGAGAGGGATTTGGCTTCCTGGACCATGGTATGTACCTCCAACATGAGGGACTGTTGGCGATGGATGGGGTGCAACTTACAAAGAATGGGAGGAATGTCTTTGCTGGAAGACTTGCAAACCTGATCAGGAGGACTTTAAACTGAAGCCATCAGGGGTGGGAAGAAAAAGCCTGATGTTGTGCGGCATCCCCTGAGATGTCTCTATACTGATGCACAGAGTATGGGAAATGAACAGGATGAACTTGAACTTCAAGTATTGGAAAGTAAGTATGATCTGATAGGCATCACTGAGACTTGGTGGGATGAGTCTCATATATGGAGCACAGTGATTGAAGGATATACCTTGTTGAAACAGAACAGAATAAACAAAAAAGGAGGTGGGGTGGCACTATATGTCAAGAATGAATAAGCTTCCACTGAAATTCAAGATTTTGAGAGTTGCCCTGTTGAAAGTGTGTGGGTAAGGATAGCGCAAGAAGGGGATATTGTTGTGGGGGTATACTACAGACCTCCAAACCAACCGGAGGAACTGGATGATGCATTTGTACAACAGCTTGCTAAACTTTCACAGAGGATGTAGTGGTTATGGGAGATTTCAACTATCCAGATATTTGCTGGAAATCGAACTCTGCTAGACATGGGGCATCCTGCAGATTCTTTAATAGCCTTGCAGACAACTTCACCTCTCAGAAGGTGGAGGTGGGGATCAGAGGATCTGCTATCCTGGATTTAATCCTAACAGGGAAGAACTGGTTGATGAAGTGAACTTTGTGGGATCCTTGGGGAATAGTGACCATGTCAGCTTGGAATTTGACATAGAGAAGGATGTGAAACCAGGACATAGTAGGACTCGTATCCTGGACTTCAGGAAATCTGATTTCAAAAAACTCGGAGAAATATTAGATAGGATCCTGTGGCTGGAAATCCTGAGGGGGAAAACTGCACAGGGTGATGCTGAAAAATGAAGTGCTTAAGGCACTATCTCAAACTATCCAAGTGAGAAAGAAGGGTGGGTAATTAAGCCAAGGTGGCTGAACAAGGAATTCTCTGAAGAACTGAGACTAAAAAGGGAAATGTACAGGAAATGGAAGGAGGGACAAATTACTGAGGGTGAGTACAATAAGCACACTCGAATCTGTAGGGATGGTGTCAGAAAGGCTAAAACACAGATGGAGCTGAGGCTTGCAAGGGATGCTAAACATAACAAGAAAGGTTTCTATGCCTATGTTTGGAGCAAAAAGAACAGGGATGGGGTAAGCTCATTGCTAGGGGAAGACAGTCAAGCCTTAACAAGGGATGAAGACAAAGCGGAATTACTTAACTCTCACTTTTCATCGTTCTTTAACTGTAAGGCTGTATACAAACGCAGGATTACTCAACTCTCACTTTGCATTGGTCTTTAACCATAAGGCGAGCTGTATACAATCTGAAGAATGCAGGGCATATGAAGGAAGGAGGAACTGCCAGTCCAGAGTAAGTAAAATAAGGTTAGAGAGCATCTAGCTGCCTTAAACACTTTCAAATCTCCAGGGCCGGCTGGCTTGCATCCCAGGTGTTATTTCAGAGCCTCTAGCTCTAATCTTTGAGATTTCCTGAAGTACTGGTGTTGTGCTAGAAGACTGGAGAAGAGCAAATGTTGTCCCAATCTTCAAGAAAGGAAAAAAGACAGACCCAGGAAATTACCTGGAAAATCAATACCTGGAAAAATTCTAGAGCAGATTATTAAAAGCTCTGTCTGTGAGCACCTTGAAAGGAATGAGTTAATTAGTGGTAGCCAGCATGGGTTTATCAAGAATAAGTAATGCCAGACTAACCTTATCTCCTTTTTTGACAGTTACTAAAATGGCTGACTCTGGCAATGCTGTGGACATAGTGTATCTAGATTTCAGTAAAGCATTCGACTAAGTTCAGGATAAGGTGGTTAAATGTGGGCTGGATGGTGCAACCGTTGGCTGGATTCCTGGTTGGTTGAAAAATCGTACCCAACGAGTGCTCGTAAATGGCTCTGCATCTATGTGGAGGGAAGTCTCGAGTGGAGTGCCGCAGGGCTCGGTCCTGGGCCCAGTTTTGTTCAATGTTTTTTATAAATGACCAGGAGGAAGACATAGAGGGGATGCTTATCAAATTTGCAGATGACATGAAGCTGGGTGGGATTGCTAATTCTGAAGAAAAGAGAGTCAGGATTCAAAATGATCTAGATAGGCTGGAACAGTGGGCTGAGACAAATAAAATGAATTTCAATAAGTGCAAAATCCTACACAGGTACAAAAAATCTAAGGCACAGGGACTTGGCTTGACAGCAACTCATCTGAAAGGGATCTAGGTGTTCTGGTTGATCACAAGCTAAACATGAGCCTGCAGTACGATGTGACTGCAAAGAAAGCTAATGCAATCTTAGGATGCATTAACAGAAGCATTGTGTCCGGATCACGGGAGGTGGTAGTTCCACTCTATTCTGTTATGGTCAGGCCTCACCTGGAGTACTGTGTCCAGTTTTGGGCACCACATTTTAGGAAGGATGTTGACAAGCTCGAGCGTGTCCAGAAGAGGGCAACCAGAATGGTGAGAAGGTTGGAATCCAAGTCTTATGAGGAAAGGCTGAAAGAGGAAAGGCTAACCTGGGAAAGAGAAGGCTTAGAGAGGACATGATTGCAGTCTTAAAATATTTAAAGTGCTGTCATGTAGAGCTGTCATGGAGCTGATCTATTCTCTCTTGCTCTGGATTGCAAGACTACATCTAATGGGTGGAAATTACAAGGGAATTGATACCGGCTAAATATCAGGAGAAACTTCCTAACTGCCAAGACAAGTCCCTCCCCTTCCAATAATTATGCATTTGATTTTTCCTGCATAAATGCAGAACTTATCAAGAATTCTCAACAAAAAAAAAATGGACAGAGGCTCAGAAATTACACCTGTGAGTTCGCTTAGTAGCCTTGGATGCAGTTCATCTGGCCCCGAGGACTTTGTTTCGTTTAAAGAAACTAGGTGTTTGTGTACTCCACCTATGGCAGTCTTTAAGCAGCATCTGGACAAACACTTTGCAGGGATACTCTAGGCTTTTCTTGCATTGAACAGGGGGTTGGACTGGATGGCCTGGATGGCCCCTTACAACTCTGTGATTCTATGTTATTCCGTGTTACTACCCCTTGCCAATCCTAGGCTGCAACTCCCCTTCCATCATCATGTGTTCTGTTTTTGCCATGTTGAGCACCATTTCCCTCACAAGAGACCAAGGAAATGTAGAAATGGAGCAGTTCTGCCCTCTCTTCATCCCCTATTACAATTTCACTTTCTTGTCCCCGCAATGGGTCTACCATGCCCTTGCTCTTTTTCTTACTTTGAAAATAAGAAAAGAACCCTTTTTTGTTGTTTGTAGCATTTCTCACTAGCCTAAACTCATAGTGAGCTTCAGCTTTCCTCTCTCTCTCTCCAAAAGCAGTGGTTATTTGTTCATATTCAGTGGTACATGCAAAAAGGATCTAGAGCTCTTAGACGACTACACATATTCATCTTTGGTTATACGGCCCTTCTTCCATTTCCTAAATGGGTCTTTTTTATTTCTCAAGTCTTTAGAAAGCTATTCATGGAGCCACCTTGGCTTCTTTAGGCTCTTCCCATTTTTCCTTCACATAGGAATTGTTTGTGATTGTGCCTTCAGTATTTTGCTTTTAAGAAATAGTCTCCCTGGTAGTTGGCAACCTCTGATGAGAAGAAAAGCATTGAGTAGGAGTTTCACCTGTTAGACATTAGGATTTCATTAGCCCCTTAGCTGCACCTAGATTGTGGAAGAATCTCTATAAGGAATTAACATTTAGTTATGACAGGATTCATATTAAAATAATAATAAATAATGTTGCAGGTTTGAATGCATCCCTGGACTTAACTAGTTATCTACAACATCTGTTTTCAGTTTCTTTTGGCCTGTACATCTGTAGGGTTCAGCATGCCAGTTTGAAAGCATAGTCTCTCTGGCAGTTGGCAACCTTTCATGAAAGGAATGGCATGAGGTAGGAGTTTTATTTGTTAGGCATTAAGATTTCATTAGCCCCCTAGCTGTACCTGGATTGAAAAAATCCTTAATAGGAATCCAGCAGATCTGTACACATCTCTTGACTTAACTAGTTATTTTCAGTTAATTTGATCTGAACATCTGGAGGTTTCAGCATGCCAGTTTGGAAACATAGTCTCCCTGGTAGTTGGCAACCTCTGAGGAGAAGAATAGCACTACGTAGGAGTTTCACCTGTTAGACATTAGGATCTTATTAGTCCCTGAGCTGCACCTGGATTGTGTAAGAATCCCTCTGAGGAATTAATGTTAAGTTTTGACAGGATTCATGTTAATCAGTCACAAATGACGATGCCCCGCTGCAAAAACAACCCACCTATCTAGGTGGTTGCAACCGTCTGGAGCACCCAAAGCTGGCCGTGGGATCGGCGGCGCGTCCTTGCGCCGCCGCATCCCGGCCCCCGGCCGTACTGCGCATGCTCGGGCATGCGCAGTTCGGCAGCCTCCCCCTCCCATCGGGCTCGTCCTCCCCGGCGTCTGCTCTTGCCGGGGAGAAGAGGCGCTGCGGCCAGGGGATCTGTGGGATCCCGCCGCAGCGTCTCAACGTTGGAGCGGCTCTATTAGCCTCACTTTTGCTTCGTGGTTTCCCTGCCGTATGGCAGGGGCCGGTGTTTAAGTAATATGTGATGTGTATTACAATAGAGTTTGTTGTATTTTATAGAAAATCTTCTTTGATAATTGTGAGACGTCACCAGAGGATATGAACTATTGAGAGACAGTTTTTGTAAAGTTTCACTCTTTTTATTTACATTGTAACAAGTCATATAATGTCCAGAATTTCAAATAGGTATATTGTTGTATTCATAAGGTCCTACATCTTTGTTCAGAAGAAGATCTTCCTCCTGCTTGCTTCCCATACTCTGAGCATTAGTGTAGAGATATCGGACATGTTTTATGCACTCTGAGGTTTTTATTTCTGTACTTTCATTTCTGTATTTACCTGAGAGTTAATGTTACCTACCATACATACCAATACAGATCCAAGAATCTTTTAAGGTCAGCTTTTATCCATACAGAACAATGACAGTGACAATTTGCCTTGGAATACTGATGTTGTGAAAACCAAATTAACTGTGTCATTCCTGGTCATATATATTTCCTGCATTTATCTCATAGTTTCAAAGAAGTACCAGTTGTTAAATTATACATTAATGGACTTCTTTGTGATTTTGTTTGCCATAGGATAGCTTCCAGTGACATGGGAGAGACTTGATGTTGCTCCATTTTGGTCCACAAAGGGCTGGAATTGGTCTTTCCCCATTTCAATATTTGGGACAACAGTGATGAAGCATAATAATATCACAAGTTTGACATCAGTAGTCCCCCAGCTGTTGTCTATCTATATAGAGTTCTAGCTTAGACTCGAGGCCTCTTATTATTCCAAATAAAATTTAAACATTTTCTCTGCCAATTTTATAAAAATTGATCTGTAACCATTATTGGGAGAATTTGAAACAAATATAAAAAGCGGGGTATCACCATCATTTAAATTGTAGCCACTTTTCCAAGCCATGATAGATTTAATCTAGACCAATCTTTCAGTTCTTTGTTAATATGCACCAATGGCCCATAATTATATCTAAATAGTTGTGATAACTCAGTAGTAATCTGCACTCCTAAATATTTCAATGATTCAGTGACCCATTTGAATGAAAAATAGTGTTTCATGTGTTCTATCAAACCTTGTGATAGATGCATTTTAAGAATTTCAGTTTTATCAACATTTATCTTAAAACCAGAAGAGGCACCAAAGAGAGTGAATTCCTGTATAATCGCAGGTAAAGTAGTTTCTGTATTGCTAACAAACAAAATTATGTCAACTGCATATAATCCTATTTTGTGTTGTTTTTGTCCAATCCAAATTCCTTTAATATCACTATGATGCCTAATTACATTAGCTATAGGCTCAAGCTGCGGTGGCTCAAGTGGTTAAGACGCTGAAGTGCAGGCTGTGGAAGGTCAGTAGTTCAGCAGTTCAAGACCTGGGTTGCTGCATGACGGAGTGAGCTCCCGTCTCTAGTTCCAGCTCCTGCCAACCTAGCAGTTCGAAAGCAAGAAATTGCAAGTAGATAAATAGGTACCACTTTGGTGGGAAGGTAACAGCATTCCGTGTGCCTTGGTGTTTAGTCATGCCGGCCACATGACCACGGAAACGTCTTCAGACAGCGCTGGCTCTTCGGCTTGGAAACGGAGATGAGCACTGCAACCCTAGAGTCGGATTCGACTGGCTTTCGAGCAAGGGAACCTTTACCTTTACCTTTACAAGTGATAAAGCAAATAATATGGGTGACAAAGGGCAACCCTGCCTTGAGCCTCTTGACAAATCAAATTGTGCTGATATGGACCTATTAACAGACACAAACGTTTTGCATCAGAATATAATGCATCTATAATTTTACAGAAGTTGGTCCAAAATCCATTACTTTCAAAAGATGTTTTGGGAATGGCCATTCCAATCTATCAAAGACCGTATCTGCATCAACAGATAGGATCAATGATGGGATTTTAAATTGGGGGGCATTTTGTATATTTAACAATCTCCTTATGTTATCAATTATGTGTCATCATTTAATAAATCCTATTTAATAAATCCTATTTGCTCAGGGTTCCCCCTCCCCACCAGGACCCCCTGCTTATCCTTCCCTTCCCGCCACCCCCTGCCTGCTCATTGACCCCTTCCACAGCCTCCTGCATGCTCTTTCCTCAATGGCACAGGGAGGTGTGTGCAGCTGGGAGTACTCCTGCTGCGACCGTCCCCACACACACCCTGGCAGTGCTGGGCAGCCCAGGTCGCTCAGGAGCCAGAGTTCTGGAGGGCTTGCAAACAAGTGGGCAAGGGGAGGGCACGCACCTTGGGTCAGTCACAGGCTCTGGCACAGCTGTCCTTGCAAAAGAGCAGGTTGTGTCAGAGCTCTCTCAGCCCCACCCACCTCACAGGGTGTCTGTTGTGGGGAGGGGAAGGGAAAGGAGTTTGTAAGCCCCTCTGAGACTCCAGGTGAAGGTCAGGGTATAAATCCAATCTCCTCTCCTCCTCCTCCTCCACGCAAGGCAGAGGAGGTGTCAAGGCAGGATCTGGCTGTTGGCTGTGGGCCCTGTAAGAAGCCTTGGGCCCTAGCAGATGTCACACCTGAGGAAGTTATGATGACACTGGCCCTGGTCTCCTGGAAGGAATTACAGCTCATACAGAAATAGATACATTGGAGGGTGGGCTGAGGTCCCTGTCCTCCACCCCCAAGTCTCCAAGAATTTCCCAACCTGGATCTGGCAACCCCCATCTCCCACTGGTAGGTTAGGGTTAGTCAATCCCACAGTCCTCCCCATTACCTTTTAACCACAATGCTGAGGATGCCCTTGGAAGAGTCAATGATTTGCATGGCACTTGAGTGGGAGAGGCTGGCGCATGGCTTTCCATTGATGGACACCAGCTCATCATTTTCCCACAGGCCCCCATGGCAAGCTTTGCTCCTCTTGCGGATCTAAAAAGAGAAAGCAGAGAGAGAGGGTGAGAATGAAAGAATAAGTTAGCAGCTTGATTCTTTCCAAATGACACCCAGAACCACCAAGGTGCATCCTGGATCCTTATTGTAGATCAGAATCTGAAGTTCTCCACCATCCTCCAAAGGACTCTTCTTGGGGAAAGTCAATGGACCTCCAGTAAAGAAATTGATCTCAATGAAGCTGCATATTCTTCATAGGAGTTTAACATTTTGCATTTGTGTTCTTGCCAAACCTTGGCCTTCTGGACTTAGTGATGTACTCATTTTTAGTTTGTCAATTAATGGGCATGTGATGACTTCGTAGACATAACCTCCCAGTAGGGCCTGGAGATCTCCTGTAATTACAACTGATCTCCAGGATCTCCCCTGGAGAAAATGGCTGCTTTGGAAGGTGGACTCTGTGGCACCCATTGTGGTATGGGGGTTCGCCGCATAGAGGACTCAGATGACGACATACTGTAGCACACGTTTATTGTACTTAACACAAACAAAGACTAACTCTAACAGCCAACAGGGCCAGCTATATACATATCCACCCAGCAACCCCCCATTCCCATTGGAGGGTTTGAATGTCCCGCCAAGGTGGCTATTGGTTGAGGCTGGGGGATCCAGGATCCGAAGTTTCCATTGTTCTAGGATCCAAGCTCTGACTTGTTCCGTGGACCCCTGGTGGCGGTCCACGTACATAACACCCCTCCCCCTATAGTTCCGACTCTGCCTACGTTACGTAGTCCTTCAAGTATGCGGGGGGGCGGCACTCCCGTGTGGAACGCCTGGGGGCCAGCACTGGCTCACTAACCTCTGGTTCCGGCTGTTTAGCTATGTCCAGGGGTGGTTGCGCCAGTTGTGGGGTCGGCTGTCGGGCTATTGGTTCGATTCCCTCTGGAAGAGAGCCGCCTGGTGTAGCCTCTTCGATGGGATGGGTTTCGGCTGGGATGTCGGGTTCCTGAACAGGAACACCCGCCCTGGTCGTCAACTGGGGGGGGGGTTACCCGACTCCGGCAGTTGCCACCTCCGCAGTTGATCGATGTGTCTCTGCAGACGTCGACCGTCCTCTGTTGACACCTCATAGGAGACTGGACCCTTGACTCTGGTGACACGGCCCGCTATCCAAGGGGGTCCAGACCCATAGTTCCAGAGGAACACTGGGTCCCCTGGGAAGAACCCCCTCGGAGCCTCCCGCTGTTCAGTCAACCTCCTCGAGCCCGGTGCCCCGTCGGGGTGCAGTCGATCCAGCAGCGTTGTCGGGCGCTGACCCATTAGCAGCTCGGCGGGGCTGTGACATGTGATGGGGTTAGGCGTCGTCCTGTAGGTCAGGAGGAACCGGGCAAGGCGGAACTCCCAGTCCCCTTCTGAAATCCGGCTCAGGGCTTCCTTCGCGGTCCGCACTATCCGCTCTGACTGACTGTTGGTCGCGGGGTGGAAGGGTGCCGAGCGGATGTGCCTGATCAGCTTCCTCTGTAGGAACTCCTGGAACTCCACAGATGTGAAGGCCGCCCCGTTGTCTGGGACTATAGTGTCCGGCAGGCCGTGCGTGGTGAAGAGCCAGCATGGAGGAGGTGGACACAGGGCTGACCTCCAGCCATTTGGAGTAGGAGTCAACCATGATTAGGAATGTTAGTCCCTGGAATGGTCCGGCAAAATCAAGATGTAGCCGGGACCATGGTTTGCGGGTTGACTCCCAGGACTGTGAGGGTGCACTTGGTGGGTTGGGCCGAACTTTCTGGCATGTCTGGCACCTCCGGACCCATGACTCGATCTCGGCATCAATCCCCAGCCACCACACGTAGCTCCGAGCCAGTGCCTTCATCCTTACAATGCCGGGGTGTGCCTCGAGGAGGGCCACGAGGACCCTCTGTCTAAGAGCGCCAGGAACCACTACCCGGCTTCCCACAAGAGGCACCCTTTGAGGGCTGACAGCTCATATTTCCAGGTAGCGAACGCCGCGAACTCGGACCCCGGGGAGGATGCCGGCCAACCCCTCACCACCCAGCCCAAGACCCGGGACATAAGGGGGTCGCGGTTTGACTTGGCCGCGATGTTGGCAGCTTGCAAAGGGAGCGCGGAAGGTCCTCAATGTGCTGGCCCACTTTGATTAATCCCATCCTCGTCGCCACTGAAAAGTACTGGTTTCGCCGCATGGAGGACTCAGACGACGACATGCTGTAGCACACGTTTATTGTACTTAACACAAACAAAGACTAACTCTAACGGCCAACAGGGCCAACTATATACATATCCACCCAGCAACCCCCCATTCCCATTGGAGGGTTTGAATGTCCCGCCAAGGTGGCTATCGGTTGGGGCTGGGGGATCCAGGATCTGAAGTTTCCATTGTTCTAGGATCCAAGCTCTGGCTTGTTCCGCGGACCCCTGGTGGCGGTCCACGTACATAACAGGAATCAAGCTGTACCTCAGTCGAAGAACCTTTGCTCAGATCTTCCATTTTTCTTTCGCTTTCCTGACTGAGCTGCCCTAGTAATGTGTTTTCTTCTCTGCTGAAGAACTCTGGTTGTCCCAGTATAATATTTTGGCAATGTCCTCAGCCCAGGTACCTGAGGTACAGCTTGGGAGGCCCCTTTAACTCGAGCCAGTGCCTTCATCCTTACAATGCCGGGGTGTGCCTCGAGGAGGGCCACGAGGACCCTCTGTCTAAGAGCGCCAGGAACCACTACCCGGCTTCCCACAAGAGGCACCCTTTGAGGGCTGACAGCTCATATTTCCAGGTAGCGAACGCCGCGAACTCGGACCCCGGGGAGGATGCCGGCCAACCCCTCACCACCCAGCCCAAGACCCGGGACATAAGGGGGTCGCGGTTTGACTTGGCCGCGATGTTGGCAGCTTGCAAAGGGAGCGCGGAAGGTCCTCAATGTGCTGGCCCACTTTGATTAATCCCATCCTCGTCGCCACTGAAAAGTACTGGTTTCGCCGCATGGAGGACTCAGACGACGACATGCTGTAGCACACGTTTATTGTACTTAACACAAACAAAGACTAACTCTAACGGCCAACAGGGCCAACTATATACATATCCACCCAGCAACCCCCCATTCCCATTGGAGGGTTTGAATGTCCCGCCAAGGTGGCTATCGGTTGGGGCTGGGGGATCCAGGATCTGAAGTTTCCATTGTTCTAGGATCCAAGCTCTGGCTTGTTCCGCGGACCCCTGGTGGCGGTCCACGTACATAACAGGAATCAAGCTGTACCTCAGTCGAAGAACCTTTGCTCAGATCTTCCATTTTTCTTTCGCTTTCCTGACTGAGCTGCCCTAGTAATGTGTTTTCTTCTCTGCTGAAGAACTCTGGTTGTCCCAGTATAATATTTTGGCAATGTCCTCAGCCCAGGTACCTGAGGTACAGCTTGGGAGGCCCCTTTAACTTTGATTGTATTTATTTATTTATTTATTTATTTATTTATTTATTTTATTTACAGGTAACTTATATACCGCTCATAACCCCTAGCGGGTCTCAGAGCGGTTTACAATGTGCTACTATATATATATAGTAGCCAGTAACCTATCTAGGGCCACATATGGTGCGGGGGGGGGACAACCTACCAGCACCCCTGATACGGCACGATCTTCCGTTCGTTCGGCAGCTTCATTGTTATGTGTTGTTGTTGTTGTTCCTGCGACCCGGCTGCCGTCGGCTGGACACGAGCTGGCTGTTATTCTTGGAGCGGCGTGTCTTTCCTCGGGCGCAGCCTCGGCTAACGTCCAAGCGGCTCCTGCCGCGTTGCGTCCCGTGTTCTGACGTTGCTCCAGCTCTGCGTCCAACTCCGCCTTCGACTCCGCCTCCACCATTGCTCGGACCAGTCACCGCCATCCTGGGTCGCTTTCACAGTTTCTCCGCCGCCGCCATTTCTTTCTCGCTGCTGCTGCCGCTGTTACTGCTGCCGCCGACTCGACTTTTTCCTTCACTGCCAATCATCGTCCCAACACAAGGCTGGGAGGAGGGTGCCCCCTGCCACCTAGGGTAGGTACCCATTCCTCTGATGTTAATTAGAGCCGCTGGGTTGGCGGGAGCTGGGACAAGGGCCGGGGGCTCAACCTGGCCGTGGTGGGGAATCGAACAGCCTTCCGGCTGCTTGTCCAGATGTTATCAGCAGACTTTGTAATGCCTGCGCCACCGCTCACCGCTTACAAGAATGATGGCAGTCATGATGTTTTTACAAATTAACAAAATATTTTATTCAACATAGAGGGGAAAAGTCAGGTGAAATAAGGAGTTAACATTTCTGAGGTAAAACCAGTACAGACTTTAGTTCTTGTGTTTCAAGTTAATGAGAGTTTCTTAAACTATTCAGAGTTACTTTAAATCTTTATGTTGAGAGACTTTTGTCGCAGTATTTTCTAAACACTCCAACATACTTTCTTTGAATATTCTCTGACTCTTTGTGTTTCCAGTCCAGAAGGCTGGTACGCTCTTTCCAGTACCCAAACCCCTTCTCTTGAAACATCAGTACTCATCTTGAGTTTTTAACTGACCTTTGATGTCTCCAAAGGCAGTTTCCAACCACACAAGACCAGGGGTCTTTGTACTCTTCAGAACTATCATCCTGTTTAGGCTGGGCAGGGAAATTCTTTCTCTCTCTAGAAGATCTATCCACTTTCCTTGGCCTGAATGGGAGTCTCCATCTAACTACCCACTCATCCTTGCCCACTTTCCCCAGTTCTCCTGTCTGTGTTAAACTGCTCTCAGTCAGGGCTGAATTCCGAAATTTTCAGTATTCAACTCTTCTCAGCTAGAGCTGCAAGCAGGCTGCCAGTACTCAGCTCAGTCAAGGCAGAAATCTTACTGACTCTGTCCCAGCATGCAGCTCTCTCAAGACTCAGCGGATGCTAACCAATCAGATTCCTTGAGCAGCCTGTCACTCAAGGCTCTCTGGCTCTGTGAAGAATTAACCCTTCACAGATCTTTATCTGTTTGTACAACATGTCTAAGCTTCTTAAAAGTGCAGTCCATCACAGTAGTATACAA